CTCTTACCTGGGACTAAATTTTATTTTGCTAAGAGTGGGTCCTTTTAAACAGTCAGACGTGAGAAAGCCATGCATGGCCTCCAGAGAAGGACTCCTTGAGATCTCTGGTCTTGCAGCACAGACAGATGTGTTTATATTTGCTTGAGTTCTTCAGCTTATTTGCCGGAGTTTGGGGAATGTACTGCCACTATCAAATGGTTACCAGCAATTATTTTTTGTTCCAGTGGGTATAAAGATTAATTGCCCTGAAAAGAAGTGTCTAATCTGAAGGTACTTCAGTTTCTGCCTGTTAGTGCATGCTTTTCATTGGCTAACTTTGCAAAAAAACCTATGCCTTGGAATCTTCAGAACAGGACAGGTCTCCAAGAGTCAGGACTGCTGTCCTCATGTATTTGAATGGCTGTCACATAGCAGAGGGGTTATAGTAAGAGTTACCTCACTGTTAGGAATAGCCTGCCTTGGGTGGTGGACTCTCCTTTGTTGGAGGTCATCACTAAGATGATCTCCAGGGTCCTCTCCAGCCCTTGTATTCCATGATTCTGTAAGTAGTTTTAAACATGGCTTTCACACTGATTTCCTCCGACATTTTCTTTGATTATTTTCCAAAAAATATTGAATAAGTTTTTGTTCTACAAAGGCATCTTGAAATGGGAATGCCACATTCCTACCTTCTTTCTTAAACCAGGATACCCTTTATGTTGGCCAGCAGCTAGAGTGGCTCCTCTGCCACCCTCTTCACAGCACTGTGCCATATTTTCTCTTTTAAACTATGGGATGTGGTTACTTATGTGGATGAGATTGAGATGTAATTGATAAACCATGTGTGAGGTATCTTCTTCTACCTATTTCCTCAATCTTATTCAGGCTTGAGGAAAGGGAATCTTACTTTGCCATTTGAAAAAAATCTAGTCAGATCTTCCTTTGTAGCCAAAGCATTTTCCCCTGCATTTAGATTGGTTAGACTGGAGGGTCATGTAGGGCATGAGAAAAATGGATGAGGATTAATCAAGGAGAGATGGGGTTCAGTCACTGGCTATGCAATGGAAACTGCTGTTCAGGTGATCCATGTCTCCAAGTTAGGTACTGGCTGGTGCTCCAGTTCCTAGAGATGGGATAGGCCTGTACCAGCCTAAGGTGGCCAATAGATACTATGCTGATCCCACACATTTGGCATCCCCTGAGTGCACCACTCACAGTTTAATTGTTGAAGTGCCTCTGATTGCATCTGGGGCAAAATCTGTCTCTATAAGGGAGAAACACTACCTGAACACCAGCACAGCTAAGAACAACTTAATGTTACCTTAGGGCAAGGGTTGGGGATCAAATAGAGACTATATCATGAGGACACCACAGAAGAAAGAGTTTCACAAAGCATGTTTGGGCAATTGTTTCTTAATTCAAATTTGTGGGTGCTTTTTCCCCCTGCCTGGGGTCTGAAGCAAGAGACAGAATGAATGATGAATGATGAATGATGAATGATGAATGAATGAATGAATGAATGAATGAATGAATGAATGAATGAATGAATCTCCAGGAACTTTCTCCCAGCTAGAACAACTGACCACATGCACTACACACATCCTACAGATGTCTTCTAACAGGAAATTATAGACCTAGAAAACAAAATTTGGGAGGGCTGAACTCTGGACATGGCCTCTGAGCACTGTGACAGAGGATACATTGAGAAAATATCCACACGTCTACATAGTTTTCTTGGCAACCTCATGGAAGTGGTTTCCCATTGCCTTCTTTCAGCAAGCTTTTTTTGACTTCCCAGTCTAGCTGATAGCCCTGCAATTTCTTGATGTCTCCCATCCAAAAACTAACCAGGCCTAACCTTGCTTAACATCTGAGCCCAGACAAAGTAAGTCAGATGCTGCCCCTTGCTGAGACTTTATTGGATTTCATTTAACTTATGTTATCTGACAGCTTTCTCCTTCTGTAAGAATTTCAATTCAATGGAAACTTTGGGAGGATTATAGGGGCTGCACCTAAGGTTCTCCAGTGTTGCATGAGTCCCTGTGACTTTAGTCTCTAAAAATCCATTTGAAAACCTAAAAGGAAAAAACACCATTTTTTTTTACCTCTGCTTGAACATGGACAATTTTTTTCCTAGACTAGTAGCTCCTAGGTGTGTGAAGGCTGTGATTCCCAGAATGAATCTCCCAGCCAAGATGAACTCAACATTCTGTATGGAAAGTTATGGAAACCTATATGTCCCCACCCCTCAGGACCAAAAAGAGCACAGTTGTTTAAACCAGAGAAAAAAAAATTAAGTGATAAAAAAAATCAAACAGAATTAGTTAGCAACCATAGAAGTGTCAGGATTTTCTCATGGGAAAGAAGTTCATCCCA